TCCGATTCTGAAGGTTGGCGGTGGAGATGGAGGACGCGCGAGAAGGGGAGGGGGACGGCGGGCTCGTGGATTGAGAGTTTCTGGAGCTTTTTAATGGCGTTATTGATGGGAAGGTTCTGGCGAGTAGAGCGGGGAAGACGGTACTTGAGTTTGATCCGTGCTCTATCATTTATTTTCCGCCGTTGAGGTGAGAAATCGGGAGCCGTTGGCGAATTCAGGCGGCTTGCGGTGGACATCAGCGACTTCAGGCGGCGTGCACCGAAGATGATGCAGCCCTTTTTAAACCCGTTTACCCTTTCTTTTGTTTTTTTTTTCTTTAACCCGCGTGAACATATGTAGTATATGTTCAGTATATTTGCAGTATATGTTCAGTATATGTACAATATATGTTTAAGATATACTTTTTTCTATATATTCTGACAAAAAACTTCTGAGAGGATAATCGTCGAACACTTGGTGTGCTTGATTTGTTGATAGATAGTTTTATTATGTACATGTTGCGGGTATATATTGTGGGTATATATAGTATATTTTTGGTATATGTATCGATATATTCTGGGTATGAAAATTTTGTATATGATTTATATGTTACCATTAGATATGAAAACTTACACATTGCGAGTATATGTTGCGGGTAAATACCAAAGTTGCACAACACACATATACATAAAATACACGTACAATATGCATAAAATACACAATCGAGATTCACGTAATTCAAGTTCACGATACCACATATATATAAAATATACTTTAAATATACACTCGAGTTTCAATCGTTTCTCAAAATCGATTTCAAAACCCACAAATACATAAAATATACCTAAGATATACACAAGAGATATTTTCACGAGCAAATCGTTTCTCACGGGCAGAACCCACATATACATAAAATATACTTAAGATATATCTAAAATATACCTCAAATATACCTAAGTTATACAATCGTTTCTCACGAGTAGACAAGAAGGTCTCAGGCTTCGCTTGACTTCCGAGGGCTTGTGGCCGGAAAAACCCATGTCTTGGAACATGGCCACTGTCGCACACGAAGCAGGCGCGCCTATCTTGGCTCAGGACTGCAGCCGGAGTGTGCCTGCCTCGCCGTGAATGGCCTGGTGCTCTTGGAACTCGCCGGAATTTTGGTGCATCACGGGTGCCCTTGAATCTCCCCGCCTGAAATTGGGTTTTTTGGTGCTCGTGGATCGCCGGCTCAGAAAATTGGTGGCCTCCTTCTTGTCGAGGAAGATGACAGTTTTTTTTTTTGGTAGTTCATGGCGGAAATCACGCCACAATCTGCTGGAGAGAGAAAGGTAATATGTTGGAGAGAGGACGTTACAAAGGTAACATATATTAAGGCAATCTCATAAATAAATTACCTTCATTAGGTATATCTCCTATTATTTGTCAATCAAGGTAAACT